ATATACTTGTCTTCAGACTAGGGGGTGGAACGACATGGCACGCATCAGGATTAGTAGGGGCCTTCAAGCCCAGTCTGGCGCAAGTGAAACTTGCTCAGGATAGCATCGCTTTGTACAAAGAGTTGGAGAAGAAAGGACTCTCGACAGGATGGAAGCAATGCGGCAGCCTTTCCTTGGCACGAACGCGAGACCGCATGACGTCGTTCAGGCGAATGAAGGCACAATCTGTGTAAATATTTAGTAGACACGACAATATACCACGACGAGCATTTATGTCTTAACTTTATTAATGTCCCTCAGGTCACGAGATATCGACTGCCATTTGGTTTCACCAGAGGAAATTCGAGATCTGTGTCCATTGCTACACGTCGAGGATCTGATTGGAGGATTGTGGATTCCAGAAGACGGCGTCGGTGATCCGTATCAAATCTGTTTGACATTGATGCAAGAGGCACAACAAAGAGGTATCGTACAAAGTTAAAAATTAGGATATCCAGAAATAAATTAATTGTCATCTGTCTCTAAATTAAATTTTCCTCATTATATTCAGGTGTTACAGTATTCGAAAACTGCGCGGTTACTAAAGTTATCAATCAGAATGGCCAGATAGATGCAGTGGAGACAACACGTGGTACCATCAAGTGCCAGCATTTTGTAAATTGTGCTGGATTTTGGGCACGGAATGTGGGTAAACTGAGTGAGCCATATGTCAAGGTCAGTATCGGATATACAGTTTATTAAACGAAGAGTTCTCTGGCGGAAGATGATACCTTGTGCTCGTTTTTTTTTTTTTCAGGTACCACTCCATCCAGTAGAACATTATTACTTACACACTAAACCTATTGCTAATTTAGATCCAATGATACCCGTTATACGCGACTTGGATGGGTATATCTACTTTCGAGAGAACGAAGGGCGACTGTTGGCCGGTGGTTTCGAGCCGGTCGCGAAACCAGCATTCGAAGATGGCATAATTCCTGGTTAGAATACGAAAATAAGAATTTTCCTAACGTTAAATTATATCAAAATAGCTATGATTACTCGTCTAATTCTTATGTCGCTGATGAAATCAATTTTATCAATTGCTTAGATTTTGCAATAGTTATTTGTAATACAATTATCGATGTCTGTTAAGACTTTTCATTTTGATTCATTTTAGAGAGCATGGATAAGCGATTCTTACCAGAAGATTGGGATCACTTTCATATTTTGCTGGAACAGATTTTGCATAGAATGCCGAGTTTAGGGAACGCAGTTCTGGAGAGGCTCTGCAATGGGCCTGAGGCATTCTCTCCGGATTGCAGATGGATCGTGGGAGAGGCGCCAGAAATACGTAATTACTACATCGCCGCCGGAATGAAAACGGTTAGTTAGCTGATTAGCTGATTAGATTGTTCAGTTACATTTAGGCTCTCGAAATTCTTCGATATAAATGATGGTTTCCAAAGGTCGGAATATCCGCCGCCGGCGGAGTCGGTCGCGCAACGGCGGAATTGATAGTTAACGGCTCGACTTCGTTAGATATGTACGAGTTGGATGTCTCGCGTTTCCTCGGCTTGCATAACAATCGCAAATTTCTACGCGACCGAGTGCGAGAGGTACCTGGGATGCACTACGGGCTACAGTATCCGCACCACGAGTTCAAAACCGGAAGAAATCTGAGAATGTCGCCGATTTATCCAAAGCTCAGAGACGCGGGCGCCGTTTTCGGCCAGGTCATGGGTTACGAGAGACCGTCCTGGTTTCAGCCGGACGATGACTACGGTAATTTTTCACGCATCACGACTTTCTGTGTGCGAAACTCGGAATCAATTTCAATCGATGTACTACAAGTACGTGTTGTTAATAGATTTGGAGTTTCCCGATGGTTTCCAGAGATACAAAATAGCGTATACGAATACCTTCGGTAAGCCACCTTGGTTCGACGCGGTCGCGCAAGAATACGCTGCTTGCAGAGAAGCGATCGGCTTAAGCGATTATTCCTCCTTTACCAAAATCGACTTATGGGTGATTACTCAAAGACTCGTAATATCTCACTGCCGATAAAAACAACAAAGTACTAACACTCTCGTTTTTGTATTGCAGTCGAACGACACGGAAGTTGTGGATTTGTTGCAATATTTGTGCTCGAATGACGTGGATGTGCCTGTGGGAAGTATTATTCACACCGGTATGCAAAATCACCGTGGCGGCTACGAGAACGATTGTAGTTTAGCGCGAATCGCACCGAATCAGTAAGTCAAAACGAATAAATTCACATCGCAAATGATGATAGTTCGTTATTGATAATACAATCAAGGTGATTCTATGTGAATAAAATAAATTTAAAATAAGTTTCTTACAACTTTTATAACAACTTATTTTTGAAGAAATCGAGTTTGAAAAATTGAAGAATTGATCACCACACTGTTTTGGCTGTGTCATCAATAACGCGCATCATTTCAATGGCGTATAAAAAAGAGAAATTTATAAATATATCCGGAAACGTTTTCGTTAGTTACATGATGATTGCACCAACTATTCAACAAACGCGTTGTAAGAATTGGATCCACCGTCATCTACCCGCGGACGGTTCTGTCGCCGTGTCCGACGTCACGTCGGCGTACACTGCAATTTGCATAATGGGTCCGGCTACCAGGAAATTGTTAACCGAATTGACGGATATAGATTTAAATCCAAAAAACTTCCCGTTCTTTACATTCAAGGTAATATAATCGAATTAAAAAATTCAAATTATATGTTACTATCCGCTTGCTTTTTTTTTCATCAGGAATTAGACGTTGGACTTGCCAATGGTATTCGTACGATGAATTTAACGCACACTGGAGAACTTGGCTATGTCCTGTATATTCCAAACGAGGTAAAAGTCAAACAACTCGAGTAATCGCCATTGTATCGCTCTCTCGAGCTATAGGCTTGATGAAAACACTTTTCTGATTTATAAAGCATGTTCCAAGTCTACGGGACTTAGATTTTATAATTTCACAGTTTGCACTGCACGTCTACACACGGCTGATAGAGGCCGGAGCGAAATACGGGGTGAAACATGCTGGTTACTATGCGACGAGAGCATTACGCGTTGAGAAGTTTTACGCATTTTGGGGACAAGATTTGGATACCTTCACTACTCCTTTAGAATGTGGAAGATCGTGGAGAGTAAAATTCGATGCAAGTATCACTTTAAATGGCCGATTAAAACGTCATTTTATTGAAAATTGTTAAAATTTGTTTAATTAAAATGTGAAAATTTATTTTTTTTTTTCAAAAATTGTTAAAATTT